GGGCGGGAGCAGGGGCCCGTTGTCAGGGCTGAGGAGGGCGGCGGCGCTCCCCGCCCTGTGCCTGGGTGGGGGACAGAAATACAGCTCTAATAGAACATCACCCGTTTGTTTTCAGTGCGGTGTTTTATTTAGCTTAGAACAGCCAGTCGCCCTCCCAGCGCCTGCACCAGTGCTGCCCGTGAGCTCTCCGCCCCCCGGCGCTGTTTGCCACAGCAGGGCCGCGCCCCTCCCCGATGGCCGCAGGTGCTCTCCTCCACGTTTGTCTGGCAGAGAGGGGCGCGGGGGCTGTCCGCCATCCGGCCAAACCCGTCCCTTACTCCCACCAGACCTTTTGCAACACCGGTACTGCCCGCTCTATGCTGGGCAAGGCTGGAGCTCACCCTCCTGCGCAGCCAGGTCGAGAGCTGATCCCTCCCGGCTGGTGGGGAGGCGTAAGGTGCAAGGGAAAACATTAATTAATGTCTTAACAGCTAAGATGAGATAAGATACCCAAGAAAATCTTAACCAAACAGCTCCAAAACAAAACCTCAAGAATGCTTTTTTTATCCCCTAGAACGACCCACTGTAGTTCATTTATGAGCCAGTACATGGTCAGGCAGCCTGTAACAAAGATACCTTACTGACAAGAGTTAAACACATTATCTCAACATTAACAGCATCGTTAGCCCCATCAAAATTGGTATTTGGAAACACTTAAGGAGGCTAAATGAGCATCATGCACAATCCAGGGGTATTTTGCAGTACACCTCAGTGATAACGATATTTTAGGATTACTTAACACACATTCCAAGTAGACAGATGCAAAAGGTTTTGGCTTATCAATACAAAACAACCACTTTGATCTTTTTAGTACAGACCACTGAGAAGTCGTCTGGAAAGCAAAACAAGATGCTATTCTAGTTTTGCAACGCTACCCAAATTATCTTTATAGCACGGATGTAATTCTTTCCTTGAGTACAACTAAGTCAAGAAGCACTTTGGGAATTTCTGTTCACACATTGCTTCTTAATGTTTACCTTGCCTCCCTCCCCTCTTCTTTTCTGAGAGATTATTTTTTTGATGCTTCCTCCACAGCTGGGTGCCTGAATTGGGTGGTCTCAAGCCCTTTTGTGATTTGCTCTTTTGAAATCCAGGCCCATGTTTCAGACCTAGCCTTGTGTAGCCTTCTATTTATTTTCAGTAGAATTTATTCAAACCACGGTTATGCAGTTCATAGGAGTCCAAACACCATTTAACAAAGTTAAAATGCAAAAAATGTTTAGATGAGAGTAATGAAAACAAGGTTAACTCAAAAAGAATACAATACCACTGAATTTAAACTACTACATACTCAGACTACAATTTAAATGACAGCTTTAGAAATCTATTGCTGGAAGACTAGAGACAAAATTTAGTACCACAGTAAACTTTAATATTTCAATATCGTAAAACACAAGTAAGAGTGTGCATTTGTACACCAATAGATTTACAGAGCAAAGTTATCGGAAAGATTAAACTGCAGCATAAAGTCACTACATCTTCAGCAGAAATCATCGGGCATCAAAAACCACCACTGGAATAGTGCAGTTAAAGGAAAAAAAAATATGTGTTGTGGTTGAAAAAAAAAAAAAAGAGGGGGGGCAGACAAAACAGAGACTGCCTAAATCTAAAGTCACAACTAACTACATAAAAATTATGTAGCAGAAAAAGTTATGTACAAAAAATATTTCAAAACTCATCTTTAATGAATCCCACAACACCTTCCTTTTGTTAAAAAGCTGACTAATATCAACTGTTCACAGTACATCACTCAGCAGACTATCACAGCTTATTATATTTTGCATAGAAAATGGAAAAAAGAGAGAAAGTGGCAGGAACAAAAACAAGATCCCCAGTCACACTGCAGAGACTTTATACTATAGTAATTTGGTCTACTGTACTGAATTTCTGGCCTTGAAGCATTCTTACACAATTACTCAAAACTTCCGTTTGGTTTCCCTTATATACCTTGTCTCCATCCACAGCTTCACAAATGCATTCAAGTGCCCATGTAAAAGGATACATCTTTTTGTCCTTTTCTTGTACATTATTCTGTAGCCACATTCTCTGCATCTGATAGGATCTCTTGCCTTTATTTCATTTTCTGTATGACATTCTGATGTGATGGAGGAAGAGAAAGGGAGCAGATAAACAAAACCAGCATTGTTAATGCATAGATAACTTTCAAAAGTCGTAATAGTCAAATTCCTATTTGTGGCAAACAAAACATAATAAAAAATAGTTGTAGTGAATTTGTATCAAGAGCCAAATGATATCAAGATACTGTGCAAAAAAAAAAAAATCAGCAAACTTCACTTACATAAGATCAAAAAGGATCTTGCTAAAAATTACCAAATTATTACTGCACAAAATACATTCCACTCTTGATACTTGTCTACTAATGAAAACTTCAGCTCAGCCCTCCAAAGCCCCAGGTTTATTTTCTTAAGACAAAATATTTCAGATTCCTGAACTGATGACTCAGAATCGCCAATTTTTAAGTTGTTGACTTATCTATAGGTAAGAGAGAATTTGACTGCTGCACTTCAATAAAAGCTGAGTGACCATACAGCATTTTCAAAAAAACTCTCTGAGATGCACTAAATAGAACGCCCACTATCTGCACCACAAATGGACACTTAGAGAAAGCGTCCTCTGGAAATGGAGGATCTGCACACAGCAACATAAGCTCTAGTGAATTACTTCCACATCGCTATCCATATATACCACATATATGTGGTACCATCAGCATGTAAAGCTTTAAAGAACATCAGGATCCACACTGCAGCTATTTGCATTTATGTGCTCTTCAGTATAATGATTATCATGCATTCTTCATTATTAAAACACCAAACCTCCAGTAACAAAAAAATTCACTGCTGTCTTTACCTCCACAAATGTAAATCATGGGCTGCTGCTTTGGAGGCTGAACATCCTTCTGTGAATCCATGTTCTAAACAAAAAACACAACATGCACACAAGGTTGTTTTTTTTAAAATTATTTTTTCAAGGCATATACAATCATTTCGATATCTCAATCCAAAGCTAATAGAAGATGAAAAACTTCCATCAAAGTAAATGAAAACAAATTCCATCTGTATTTGATACACAGGACATTGGATAATTCAGGCTGGAAGAGACTTCAGAAAGTCATCTAGTTCAGCTTCTCAAAAGCAGAGTAATATCAGGTTTCTCAGAGCTTTACCAATCTAGTATAGAAAACCTTGAAAGATGGAGATGGCACAGCATTTTCTATTAAACAGCATTTTAAACATTAAAGCCCAATGAATAATATTTTCTTTCCTCCCTTCTGCCAATGGTAAGAATTTCCTAGCTAGAAACACAGAAATAAGTCATTTCTTACGTATCGCTCATGTAATAACAGTGCTATCATAAACAAAATAAGCCTAGTTATATTTTATTCCCCCTCTGATACAACACTAGCTAACCTAATCTACTTTTTTATTGAGCTATGGGATTAGAAATCCTGGGAACAGACTGTAGGTAGAAAAGTAATAGGAATTAATAAAAGCAAACAAAACAACGAGGGGCCAGAGAAAAGAAATTCCACCCTCAAAATCCTAGCATAGGTGTGTATGATTACCAAACTGATCAAGAGCTTGATAACTCAGTAGTGCTCTTCAGACACCTCTTAGTGCCTTATAATGGTTTTGATTGTTCAGACCATAAATTTTAAGGTTGTTGCTGTAACCACTAGAGACAGTAAACAATTATTTTTCCACCCAGTGAAAGTCTAGACTAGAACATGAATATCTCCTTGTAGTTTTTTTGAGGTTGCCGTCTTCTGTGCCGCTGTTCTGCCTGAGATAGAAGTCAAGAATTCCTAACCCTTATGCCAGTGAATAGCCTTCATGATGCTTCTTGACGACCATGACCCTTGGATGCTTTTGCTTAATATTACAGTAAGGATTACTTCCTTGATCTTCACAATTTGTTTCAGTATAAATCCAACTAGGAAAACAAGGGTCTTGAAAACAGAAGGATAAGCTTGACAGAAACAGTTCATACTTTGTTTAAGAGAGTCTGATCAGCACTTGACAAACCACCTTGTTAAAACCCCCATTATGCCACTCCATTTGAGAACTGGAGATAATTCATTAAATCTCCAACTTTCAAGTAAGGTTTTGCTCTACCATAACCATAGTGGCATCTTAATCCACATGTGTTATAGTATTTTTGTGTCAGTACATTATAGTAAGATTTATGCAGTCATCCATTAGTCCTTCAAAAGAGCAGCATCTTCTGAAACAGAGAGCTGAACTAAGGAGGACCACAGTTACAGCTACATAACTTGAGTTGGTGCTGCTCATGCAGCAAAATAATACTGCTGCTAAAGAGAGCCGTGACCTACAGCTACGTATTTTGCAGGGAGGTGCCACGGTTTCGCTGGCCTGCACGTACCCTGGAGCCGTACGTGCTGCCAAGCTGACACAGCCAAGAGGCACACAGATGCGCCTACGCGCACTGGGCGCTTACCGTAACCTACCGCGAGGAAGCGGAGCGCCGGCCACGCTACCGGTGCCGAGAGGAGGCGTCCTGCAAAGAGAGACAAACCCACTCCCTCACGTCCCTCTCAGACACCACGAAGGAGGACGGGCCGCCTTCCT